TGGACCAGCTGGGTGATCAACAGCTGCTGCTGAATATGTAAATGAGAGGAAGGCGAGGTGGCAAAGAAGTCTAACCAAGCTGGGGTTGGCACAGCTGGTCCAGTGGCCTCAGAAGCAAGACCTAGGGATCTCAGGAGCAGAGCCAGGCAGAGTGCTGAAATGGGAACCTGGGCAAATGCATGCTTAGGCCCTCTTTTTTAAAAAATATGTTTTTATTGATTTCTGAAAGAGAAAGGGATGGGGAAAGAAAAAGAAAGATTGGCTGCCTCCTGCACGCCCCCTACTGGTGATCGAGCCCACAACCTGACTGGAAATCGAACTGGCAACCTCTTGGTTGATGCACCGGACGATGCTCAACCAACTGAGCCACACCAGCCAGCAGGACCTCTTTTGTGTAACAAGATGGTGGGATGTGGACTTGGGCAAGCTGGGTGCCATGACAGAGAGATAGGGAGCTAACCCAGTGGTAGTTAGGGAGGAGGTAAGGCAGGTACAATTGTTCGCATTTCTCCCAGAGGAAGCACACTGTGTCGACAAGGACTCTGCACAAATGCCCCTGGTTTCGTGCTTCTTTTGCAGGCTGGCCTAAGCCTCAGAGAGACCTGGCCCTGGCCATGGGCAGGGGATGCTGCTGATTCTAGATGGATAACCTGGTATTTTAAGTTCTTAGGAGAGGAGTAGCAAAGCTAAATTCCTAGGAGAGTAGTGAAAAGAACTTAGCACCTGCCAAAAAGAAATACAAGATAATAAATGGTAATAATGTGAATTTTTTGGCTATTTGAACCAAGCAGAAGATAAAAGATTATGCTGTTCCTAACAACCTACGGGGATCACAGTGAGGCCACATGACCTCCTTAGACCTTCACAAATGGAGGAGTTTTTAACTATGCATGAGGACAGAGCCCTACAGAAAAAGAGAAAGAAGAATTTGTGTGGAAAGACTACAAGATGTTAAAAAAAAATTACAATGTGCCAGGAAAAGCGGATCAAACATATCTGATCTGCATCCCCCTTTTCCTGACGTTCAAGCCCACTTCACTGTCCAGTGACTGGCAGTTATTCAAGGAATATATGTACGGAATGCAGTGCAGTCATTAAAAAATCACACTGGGAAGGGCACTTCATGACCTGTTAAAAACCAGCATATTATATGGCTCAATTTTAGGAGAAATGGTTAAAAAACAAATTCATCAATAATCTGCAACATGAACCAGAATGCTAATAGTAGTCATCTCTGAATTATGGAATTAGTACTGGTTTTTTTTCCTCTTCTCTTTTCTTTCTTTCTTTCTTTTTCTTCTTTTATATTTTTCAAGTTTTAATAACCATGTGTTAATTTTTCAGTTAGAAAAAAAGCCATTGTTTTACAAGGGTTCAAGTTAAACATCCTGCAACACAATTTTAGACAATAAGGTCTTGATGAAAATGGCCACCACAGTACCTCTGATTTTAGGTTGCTGACAAGGAGAGGATCCTAAACTTTTCCATTGGGGTTACTACCCACTAGGGCAGTGATGGCGAACCTTTTGAGCTCGGCGTGTCAGCATTTTGAAAAACCCTAACTTAACTCTGGTGCCGTGTCACATATAGAAATTTTTTTATATTTGCAACCATAGTAAAACAAAGACTTTGATATTTATTTTATATATTTAAATGCCATTTAACAAAGAAAAATCAACCAAAAAAATGAGTTCGCGTGTCATAGGTTCGCCATCACTGCACTAGGGGATGCTAACCACTGGGGACCCTGAACTTATTGGGGAGAGAGCACCCTTGCCACCTACATTCTCCTTTCCTCTGGAAAGTTCCAGAAACTCTGGCGAAGGCATTGAGCTGGGACAGTCCAGATAATATATGTAGAATGTGCACGTATATCTAATTGTATTCATTCATCTCTATAAATAAATGTTAACATGAGAAAATATGTGTTCAACCCAATGATCTGCAACCAAATCCGGGAGTTCCAGGCCCCCAGTGACAATCACTCCAGGTCACAGAAATCCTGCACGTAAAAATGAGAAGAAAAACTAGATAACAAAATAATCCAGAAAGGAATCCCAGGTCACTAGCCCTCAGAAACCAAAGCCAGAACTCTGAGGCCCCAGGCACAGATCTTGCTGCTGGCCCTGGACACACAAGGGCCTGAAAAGTACTATGGCTCTCAGAGCCCAAAGGCAAGAACACAGTATGGCATGAGGGGTGTGGGGTGGGGGGCTACTCACGCTGTCGTTGCTTCCTTTGTTGTCCTCATACTTGGTTTCTATATGAATGGAGAATTTCGGCAAGAAGGAACACTATGGAAAAAGAGAAGGTTTCATTAGCGTACCATTTTTTTCTATTCGCATATTCAATATAGGCTCTGGATGCTCTTCTGACCACTTGCTTGGGAACACTGTTTGCAACCAGAAAGGCTCAGATACCAGGTCAATATCCAAATTCAGACAAGAAAAGCCACCTTTGGCAACGTGAACACAAAGTTTCATCCAGAAGTCAGGCTGGAGAGAATGCCAAGCAATGGAAGGCAAGTCACTGAAGAGGATGTTTTCAAAAGGATTGAGAGAAGCAAACACCTGAATCAGAGGCAATTCCAGCTTTGGGCCTACCTCTGGGCAACAGCGATCACTGCTGGAACCCGGGGACCCAGCCTTACCCTTTTATAAACATTCATATAAAGCTAGACAGGGGGCACAGCAGAACCTTAAGGTCATACATTACTGAAGTCAGAGAGACCTGGCTTTTAGTTTGGGTTTATCACTTGATAGCTATGTGACTTTGGACAGACAAATTGATGAACTCTTCTGAACCCTAACAGTATTAAAACATGGATACTAATTATTACCTAATAGTGCGAGGGTTAAATAAAATCAAGGGCATAGACTCAGCATTCCGTATGAGGCTACAGCTGAGCTTGACATAAAAGGCAGCCCCTCTTCCTGACGGCACAGGGGAGAGGAACCCCGAATGCTCACCGCCCTAGTGTCCCAGTTTCACTGAGTTACATTCTATGGATTCAGCGAGATTTTAAAGATTAAGGTAGCTTAATAAGAGGATTAAAAAAAATTTTTTTTTTTTATTGATTTCAGAGAAAGGAAGGAAGAGAAACATCAATGAGAGAAACATCGGTCAGCAGCCTTCTGCATGCCCCCTACTGGGGATTGAACCTGCAACCTGGGCATGTGCCCTGACCAGGAATCAAACCTGCAACCTCCTGGTGCATGGGATGAAGTTCAACCAATTGAGCAACACTGGCCAGGCCAACAAGAGGATTTTGATGGATGATGTAACCTCCCTCCTGCTGGCACCAAGCTGGGCATTAACTTTCTTGGCCACCGGAAATGGGATTGAAGACAATTGGGTAAAATGGCCCAGCAACTCCACTGGGAGCTGCAGGTTTAGGGGAAATGAGAGTTGGACTGATCTGCTCAGTCCCCAGAGCACAGATTCGACCCCAGGCACTGGCCTAAATTCTAATTAATTTATGCCTTGCATCCATCCCAGGAACAAGGTACTATTTATTATTACCCTGCTCTAAGGCACAGAGAGGTTAAGAAAATGGCTCATGATTACACAGCCAATGAATAGTTGAGTTGGGTTTGAAGGTCTGGTGGCCTGGGCCCAGTGTCCATCCCCACTGATTCTCGAAGTGGGGGTCTCTGAACTGTTAGTAGCAGCAGCAGCAGCAGCAGCAGCCGCCAGCACCTGACACTCATTAGAATTGCAAATTCTTGGGTCCAAAACGACCCACTGAATCAGAAACTCTGGGAGCCCTTCTGTATTTAACGAGCCCTTCAGGGCCTGCTGATGCTCACCCAAGTGGGAAAACCGCCTCACTACTTCATGTATAGGAAGTAAACAGAGATAACGCATTATCTAAAATCCGGAAGTCCACAGTACCCATCCTCACCCACAGTACCCATCCTCACCCGTGTGCGGATGGCTCCCTTTCAGCCCAGTGAAGACCCCGAGGCATCTGTACAATAAGGCAGGGGCCTTGGATGTGCCACTGAAAATTCTCCTGATGCCACACGCCTGTGTGATTTGGCACTCGTCTGTCTCAATCCGGTGAAACAAACAAGCTGAACCATGACTAAGGAAACTCAGAACCAGACAATCCCAGTAATTGCCTTTATGGAGAACATAGCCCTGCAATTTCATTCATTGACACCTTCCTTGCAGTCTTCTCTCCAACCTCTCACTCCATAACTGCTGCCCTCACTCCCAGGTCCAGGGGGTTCCAAGGAGGGGCTGCTCATTGGGAATCGAGACCCTGAGGACTCAGTGGCTTGGAGCCCACAGTAGAGCTCTCCATCAACCTTGAACTGGGGAGATGCACCTGCCCGAGACCCTTTTCAAAGCAACAAGCCTTCAGGTAAGCAGATTTGTCCCGGCTTGGAGCCCACAGTAGAGTTCTCCATCAACCTTGAACTTGGGGAGATGCACCTGCCCGAGACCCCTTTCAAAGCAACAAGCCTTCAGGTAAGCAGATTTGTCCTTTTTAACCCATAATTCATATGAGAGTCAATCCAACTTGAGTACAGTACCAGCTGGCAAAAGAACAGAACAGTGCAGCATGGGGACTGGGCTGGGTGCATCGGAGTGGAACCCCACAAGGATTTTTTATTGGTTGAACCTCTAAACCATTTATCTAAGGTCAAACAAATGAATCTTAGCATTTGGGTATTGAACCCGAATAGGAAAATAAAAACTCTTATGCAAATCAGCAGATGTTATTTTTGAGTTGAGGATTTGGGTTATTTTCATATTAGAATGGCAAGGCTGCCAGAGGCTGTGAGTGCACCTGGCGGGCAAGGCAGCGAGAGAACCAGATCAGACAGGCCATCTCCAGGAGGGTCAGCATTTTTCTCCTACTGCAGTGGTTTGGGGCTGATAATTCCCTTGGGAACTCAGTGGCTGTTACTCGGAGCCCTGGAGAGTGTACCTGTCTTAAGTTAAAAGTCAGGTATATCTGTGGCTCGGGGCCTATTCAGAGCTGTCACCAAAACCTTTCCACTAAGATGTCCATGATGAGATAAACTTCTGCTTTTCCATGCAGGTTAGCATCCCTAAAAATAGGCCCACTGATCCTCATGGAGCCTTAGCTCTCAGCAGTACAGGACAGGAAAAAAGGTTGGGAACTCTGACATAACTTCAAGGAGAGAGACATTGGGTGTGTCACCCAGTGGCTAAAACTGGATGTCTAAGGGATTCAGGAGACGCATACGCTCTATGGCACACTGAGCGGTTCAAGTCCCATTGGGCCACAACAACATGAAGGACAGACTAAAACACTCCTGTTGACAGAGTTCCCAGATGGACCCCAAGATTCCTAGCATCTGGGATACAGATCCTGTATAACTCCTCCCCTATTATTAGGACAAGACCTAATAATATGGGATAGCAGCACATCTGATTAAATTACCAAAGTGATCAGGTTATGCTACATTATATAAGACTTGTGTTTGTTTTTTTTTAAAATATATTTCTACCAGAGGCCGGGTGCATGAAATTAGTGCACAGGTAGGGTCCCTAGGCCTGGCTGGTGATCAGGGCTGATCGAGCCTTCCAGCTGCTGGCCGGGGTCTTCCTTCGTTCCGCATCATCTCTTGGTGGTCAGCACACATCATAGTGAGCAATCCAACTCTCGGTCTCCCAGTCGAACTCCCGAGGGGACAATTTGCATATTAGGCATATATATATATTATATATTATATATACATATAATATATCTCAATGATTCTCTTTGATTTTAGAGAGGAAGGAAGAGGAAGAGATAGAAACATCAATGATAAGAGAGAATCATTGATTGGCTGTCTTCTTGCCCCTCACTGGGGATCGAGCCTGTAACCTGCGCATGTGCCCTGACCAAGAATCGAACCATGACCTACTGGTTCATAGGTTGACGTTCAACCACTGAACCATACCGGCTGGGCTGTGAGACTTGTTTTTAGAAGAAGCAGAGGTTCCCTTGTTGGTTTTACGGAAGTAAGCTGCCATGTCTAGAAGCTGAGGAGCTGAGAGTGATCCCTGGAGGCCAGCCAACTAGAAAACAGGACTTCTTTCCTACAACCGAAAGGAACGGAACCCTGCCAATAGCCAGTGTGCATAGAAGAGGACCCTGTGCCTCAGATGAGCCCAGAGCCATGGCTGATACCTCAATTTCAGCCTGGTCAGATTCTGAGCCAAAGATCCACCTCACCTGGGCCCCAAAGGAAATGTGAGATGATAAATTTGTGATGTGTTAGGCCACTAAATTTGTGGGAAATCTGTTACACGGCAATCGAAAACCAATGCAACACCCAACCTCCAGAATCCAACCACTGCTTCCTTTCCAAATCTCCCATCTGGCTCATCTGAGTAAAGTATACTCACTTTGAGGCTGGAGCACACCCAGGGCAATGGGGAATTCGTACTCTTTTTAACTTAGTAGTTCCACCTGTGATGTCATCTGCTTTATCGATGGCCACTGTTTCTTGTCTAGGGTGAGATTTACTAGTAACTGATACCACTAAGCTTGCCATTAGTTGGCGTCCAGGTGCAGTAGCGTGTGGCTAGCCCACAGGGAGGACGCATGGTGGTTCAGTAGAAAAAAATACAGGTTTTGGAGTGAAGCAGACTTTAGATCAAACCCCAGCTTCTTTTCTCACAAACTGTGACTTTGGGCAGATTCCTTAATCCTCTTGAGCTTCAGTGTTCTCATCCATAAAATGGAGACAATACCAACCTCACAGTAGGGTGAGGATTAAACGATATAACACATGTCCAAGACCAGGCAGTGTCTGCTAGAGCAGTCACTCGAGCAATGTGGGCCCATCCCAGTGCACCCCTTCCCATGAATGAAATCCCACAGGCTACCTGGGGGGCGGGGGGGAACAGAGCTGGGGTGGGGGAGTGCCTCTGCCGTGTAGGTGTGAGGATGCATTGGGAGGCTGTGGGCTTTCTGGGGCGGCGGCGACGACATGGGTGGTGGCCACGACACAGAGCTTGCTCACCTTCAGCATGGCTCTGGCCCCTGAGCTGCTCTGTTGTTGAGGACGTCATTACATCTTCCAGGTCCACCCTCTCATTGTCCTCCTTTTCCCAAAGGGTTCGCAGTTCCCTTTTCTGCACAGCAGCCCTCTCCCCTCACCCGTTCCCAGCTCTCTCTAGACTCCCTGCCAACTTCGTGCAGGGAAACAAGCATACCACCAGGATCTCTGTGTACTTTCTTTTTGCCTAGATCTAAAGGCTTTCTGCTTGCTGGTTCACTCAGTCTTTTTATGAAAACTGAGGTGCAAAGAAATTAAGAAAGAGCATT